GCCCTGATGACCTCTGGACTGCATTGAGTAATGCCCCCCTAAATTTCACACCCATCAGGACCTTATTGGAAATAAGATCTTTGCAAACGTTTTTAACTAAGGAAGAATCTTGAGATGACATTATTCTTGATTTAGGGTAGGCCTACGTGCAATGACTTGGTGTCCTTGTAAGGAAAGGGGAGGACACAACGATTCCATTTCATCAAAGACAGATGCATAGGAGAAGGGAGACAGCTGACACACTGGCACATCACCTCCTCCAGGAAGTCCTTCAGGGTGGGCTTGGTGGAGATGAGCAGCAATCCGGAGAAAGCCTAGGCCTCTTGCCATGGCCTCATCTGACCATCCTCACCTGTGGCTTTGTCTCTTGAGGTTTCTTTGCATTGTGAGGAGTGGCTTTATGATCCTCCTAAGATATGCAGAATAAAGCATCGCTATGTCTCTGTTCCTCCTGGTCACGAGGGCTGATGTGACACAGCTGACTGGTCAAGCAGGTGGCCCCTGACCCCCACCCCCACCCCTCTCAAGAGGCACAAAGTGACAGACCTTCCCCGGGAGGAGCAGCCCAGAGCTCCAGGCGTCCATCTTGGGGAATTCTGAAGCTACAGAACTGTGCAGTGATTGATTAGCAATGTCTTCTGGGAGCATGGGGGGCCGGGGGGGGGGGGATGGAGACAGGTGAGCCATGGATTTGCCATCCTTCATAACTGAGAACCTCATTCTCCCTCCCCAAAGCCCCATACATTTTCTAGGTCTTAACCCAGTGGCATATACATGATAGATGTTAAAAATATTTGTTATTTGATCGATAGTTTATTGAGTAGTCATTTTATAGCCCAGTGACTACATGCTAGATTGAGAGAGAGGGTGTAAGGGAGGGAAGGGGAGAAGACTCTGGCTGCCAAAGGAGATGGGAACTGTGGCAAAGTCAAAGGTCAGCCATCTCACCCATCTGGGCACGAGAGGCGATTCTTTCCATGCCCACCATGTGCTGGCGGTGGCCTTGAGGCTAAGGGTGCCATGCCCACGCTCAGGAAGGCACCCTTCCCATCTCTAATTTCATGAACTTTGTGCCTGACAGCCCTGCTCATCTCCCCCGGCTCTTCAGTGCTGAGCCTCTCCCCCCGCGGAGAGGAAGGGGGGCCCGGGCCCGTTGGACAAACACTCCAATGAAAGCTGCCCTCAGCAGCGGGAGAAAGGGCCTCTTTTCTGGGACCTTGTCAGAGTCTAGAGTTGAACCTCTTTTCTTGAGAAAGGAAAATACCATGCAGGCCCACACCCGCAAACGCATGCATGTGGGCGTGATTTATGAGCCCGCACGTCAACCAGTGTTTTCTCTCGGTGACTGAAATCTTTCCTCCTCTTGGACCAAGACATCAACAGTATGATCATTGTATGTTTTTCCACTTTTCCCAGAGCCAGGAACCAGGAAAAAAGCTAAAAATGAAACGTAAGAAAAATGAAGTCCAGGCCATACCCACCACAGTTTGGGGAGCCGTGGAAGGCCGCTGTCTCAGAGCCCAGGGCCCGACCCCTAGACCTCACCCTCTGACCTGACATGCCCTGGAGACACGCAGGCCCCAGGCCCACACCTGGCACTCGTCACGCGCCTCTTGTGAGAAGCTCTGTAGGACGCTGTATGGGGAGACTCAGTGGCCTCCAAAGGCTTCTCTGCACCCCTGTTGCCTTCTGAATGGTCAGAGGAGGTGACACCCTCTCTGAGGGGTGGCTGATCACCAGCTCTGGGCTAAAGTCTCCCCTGGTCCCCCTCAGTGTCACCGCTCCAGCCCTGAGTCAACAAGAGCCTCTCTGAAGGGCACCAGGCCCAGAGAGGTGCCAGTCATGAGGACACCATCCAGGCCTTGCATGTGAAAAGCAGCAGATCTCAACTGGGGTGACCCTCCCACCCCCCAGGGGCCATCTGACTGTGCCTAGAGCCATTTGAGGTTGTCACAGTTCTGGGGTGCTGCTACTGGCACCTCATGCATGCAGACCAGGGACACTGCTAACCACTGACCACGCACAGGGCAGCCCACAGCAGAGCACTCTCCAGTCCTCATCAGTGCTGACCCAGCTGGGATGCTGGTCTGGAGAGATTTCTCTCTTACACCCTCTCCTTTGAACCCTTTCTGCTGTGTGACTGCCCCTCCTCCTTTTGTCTTTCAGGACCTTCCCATGGTTTAAGAATTGACGTGCCCATTTGAAGAGGCAACAAACAAAGGGATGGAGCGGGGGCATGAGCCCCTCACAGGCTAGGACAGCCACTGGCAGCCATCCCGCCACCTGCCCTCCTTACTCACTCTCTTCCTCCTGTTCTTTGATGGGTGGCCTGCTGCACCTTCAAAACTAAAATTGAGCGAGAGCGAGTGCCAGACACAAGTCCACCATCTTTCTCACCCAACCAAGGACAGGGGAGAGCCAACCGAAGATTGGTGGTGTTGAGAGACCCCAAAAAGGTCAAAAAGAAGGAAAATGTTCTTAGTGGTGATGGGCCCTGGAGCAGAGAGGAGAAAGTGCTGGCCGGCCCGCTGCGTGTGTCCCATGGAGATGGTCTGTAGAATTTCCCGGAGAAGGGCCTCTCCATCCTTCCCTTCCAGGAGACCACAGGGAGGGCGGAATGAGACCTCCCAGCTGGTGGGAGCCCGCCAGACCCAACATGAAAAAGAGAGGCCAACTCTGAACCTTCTCCATGGCCAAGGCTTGGAGGCAGCGTGAGCGCTCACAGCCTGGGAGCCCTGAGGAGCTGAGCCCAGGAACCAGAGAGCGGTTCCAGGGGTTGGTGATTGATTGCATTGGGCTCAGGAGAGTCCTCATTGGCTCTGCATCCTCTGGCCTCTGCCCTTCCCTGCCCCCGCCTGCTGCTCTAGCCCCAGGCACTTCCCACCCCAGTCTTGCCCTGATGTACCCTCTCCTTGTGACATTCCTCCTGGACAGTTTCTCTGTTCCAATGTCACCTCCTCCTAGAGGCCTTGCCTAAGTCTCTATGACCCTCCATGTGAGCCTACCATCTGGGCAGGGGCCTTGTGTCATGCAGGCCATGCTGGGCACTCAGCAGCTGCTCTGCCAATATGTTGCTGACTGGGTAGCACTCCTGTGCTAGGGGCTCTGCCAGGGCCTCCCCAGATAACTTACTTATGGGGTGCTCTCCCCTGACTGGCTTAACTAAGGCCCTCATGGATGGTATTAGTAGATTCCCCCCAAAATTAACAACGTGACGGAGAGGTTGGGCCCCACGTCTGGATCTAGCCGGACCTGAGTTCCATCTTGGCTCTCCCTGGAGGTGACCTCAGGTCAGCCACATGCAGCTGCTCTTTTTTCTGTAAATCAGAGGCTGGAGGCCTTGGTGCCTAGGGCTGTTGGGAGAGTTAGATGTTTGGGGTGCTGAGCCCAGGGGAAGGTATAGCACCCCTCCACTCCGGGAGAAGCATGGTTAGGCGGAGGTCCTTGAAAAGTGGGGCGGTTTTTCTTTATGACCTGAGCGCCTGGGGAAGTCTCTTTCCCAGTAGTTCCTTTGGGGACCACCAAATGGTTCCACCCTCCATGTGCGACTCATTTGAAAAGACTGAGGAGCTGCAGACAAGCCGCTCCCTCCACATGGGAAACTCAGTCATGGGATTTGCATGAAAAGCATCTCAAAGCTGCCTTATTCAGCCTTCAGCTATGCATGGCCCCTTCCCACCACCCTTGCCAAATATTAGAGGTGGCTGTTGGAGCTTCCTGCACCGAAAACAAAGGAGCTGTAGATTTAGTGGCTGTGAGCATATGCCCAGCAGAGCTGGCAGGGCCCCAGAGACCCACAGTCAGGAGCCAGGGGCTGTGAAGAGGCTGTCAGGACGTGCTGATTCCTCTCCCAGGGCCTCTGCAGCACGCTAACGTGGTCTGGGAGTCCAGCTGGGTTCAAGGGCAAACCCTGTCCCTGGGCAGCTGAGTGACCTTGGACAAGTGGCTTTCCTTCTCTGACCTACATGGTTTCTAGGAGCCTCTTCAATAAATGTGTTATTTCTAAATCAATGAGGTAGAAAGGCCGAGTCCAGGAGGCTGAGAACAGGAGCCAGAGGCCGTGGGGGGGACGGACGACCTCTCGGGAAGGTCCTGCCATCTGTCCTGTGTGCAGAGGTTCCTTCTCCTCTGCACCGCGGTTGCTACACTGAGCCCAGTTCCCAGCACCACCCCTCCCTGGCCATCCTCTTTCTGTTCCAGGCAGAACAGGGCAGGAATTCTGTCAAAGAAAGACAGAACTGCTCAATGTCGCTGATGGGATCCAGGAAAATGCAGCAAAAAACCACGCCAGTAATTCAGCTTCACACGGTGCTGCTCACAGGGGCCTGGCCAGAACCCTCAGCCAGGGCGAGTCTGGTTTCCTTGGAAAGGCGGAATTCTGCGAGACCGACTTCCCGGCACAGGGGGTGGGGAGGCTCTGCAAGGCAACCTGAGACAAAGACCCAGGCATGAACTTTCTCTCCCTCCCCTTCCACACTCACGTGCACAAACACGCACATGTGCACATGCACACACGTGCGCACGCGTGCGCGCGCACACACACACACAGAACGAGGCCACGTTTCTCCACTTTTCAAAGGAAGAGCTGTGTGTGGGCTTCACTTGGCCAACTTTGGGAGATGCCTCGATTCCGGGATGCTCTTGGAATAAAATCCAAACTGTGCACTTCCAAGGCCAACAAGGCCTTGGCTCTGACCTCACCCTGCTCGCGCTCTCCTCCCTCGCGACCCGCCAGCCTGCCCGGCTCCTTCCTGTTCCTCGAAGACTCGGGCTTGTGCTACTTCAGAGCCTTTGACATCCATGTCCCTTTAGTCTGAGCACTCTTCGGGGGGCCATCCCCGCTTCCCCTCAGGCCGCGGCTTGATGTTTCGTGATCTGAGAGGCCTCCCTGGAATATCCCCCATCTAAAGCAAGCCCCCCTTTCCCTTTCCTCCTGGCACTTCTCATTCTCTGAGAGCATGTTACTTATTTGCTGTTTATTTTCTGATTCCTCCTGGCAGAAAATGAACTGTGGGAAGGCAAGCGTCACATCAGCTGTTCATCATTGTATCCTGAGTCAGAGACAGCGCCTTCCGGATCTTGCAAGAATCTCCTGCTGGCCCGTCCTCTCTGCAAACACTCGGAGGGGCATTTTTGGAGACGTGCACAGCCTGGCCAAGTGCTACGGTCTGAATGTTTGTGTCCCTCCCAGGTTCCTGTGTTGAAATCCTAATCCCCTGTGTGAAGAGGTGGGGCCTCTGGAAGGTGCTTAGGTCTGGTGGATTAGTGTCCTTAGTAAAAGAGGCTCTTTGTCTCCTTCCGCCAGGTGAGGACACAGAATGTGCCGCCTGTGAACCAGGAAGAGGGCCCGGCCCAGGGCACAGCTGCGCTGGTGCTTTGATCCTGGACTTCCGGCCTCCAGAACTGTGAGAAACAAATTTCTATTGTTTCTAGGCCATCTAGGCTGACATTTCGTTATAGCAGCAGAGCCGGGCTGAGACGCCAAGCTGACACATTACAAAGCCATCATACTAGGTCCATGCCAACACGGACAGATGGAGCAAGTGAGATGTTTTAGATGGGGGTGTGAACCCCGGAGCCTGGCACATCGTTCTCTGGAGGGTCCTGCCTCTGCCTGTCCTCCAGCTGCCTGTTCCAAGTCCTCCCAGCCCTCCTCAAAGCCCACCAACACCCCAGGCACATCTGGGCTGTCATCGCTGCCCAGAACCCCGATCCTCACCCCTCTGCTGGGGTGCTCTCACACCTTTCAGTATTCAAGCTTCAACAATAGCACCTTTGGGAGTCACTGCCAACCGAGGCTGAGTCACAGACTTCCTCTGTGTCCCTCTCTGCAAACTCCATTAGTCCATGTTTCTTGTATCTCTTTCCAGAGGTAGTCTAGTCATTCACTAACTATACTATATATATTTTCTCTCACATGAAAGATAGCACCGATTATATATATTTTTTCTGCATTTTACATATTTTTCCTCTTAACACTGTTTCTTGGAGACCTTCTGAATCATTATGCATGAGATAGCTTTGTTCTGATAACTGCCGCCTGGGATTCCACGAAGCGGGAGGGAACCATAATTTATTCAACTGGTCGCTCTTTGTTGGAAATTCATACTGTTGGCACTATTCCACTCCGATAGGCAACTGTGGGGAATGTCTCTGCACATGCCCAGATCGTGCTTCAGCCCCTCTGACACCTGGCCAGCATCTAGTGCTCTACGGGACCCTTCCAAGAAGCCCCCCTAAATCCTGATTAAGTTTGGCTGGCTGCTCTCTGGGACTTGCAGGCCACCTGACACACACCTGCCCTGTAACCCTCGCTACAGGGTATTCGTGTGTCTCACTTTCCCGTGTGCTTCCACCTCTGACTCTCCAGCCCAGCTCATGGTGCCTGGCACACAGTAGGCATGCACCTAGGAATGTAATGAACATCAAAATTAAGCCCTTGGTGTTCCGGGCATGCCAAATTTGGCTCTTTACTTCGGTTTCCTTTTTTTTTCCTCCCTAGTTTGCTTCTGCACCCTCACCTCCTAGGCCCTCAGTGCCCCCCCCTCCCCCAGCTCAGCAGGCTGTCTCCTTGTCCCTCGCCAGCCTCTACTGGAGTCCGGATGCTCCGGCTTTGCTCATGCCCTTTGCCCTCTCTGGAACGGCCTCCCCCTCTTGAAGCCCTCTCCCTTCCTCCAAGGCTGGGCTCTTCCCCCACCCCCTCCACCAGGGACGCTTTCGCTGAAATATCAATCTCTCCCTTTCCTGAACTGCTGCTGCCTTTATAGTCACTTTGGCATATTTTTTTCAAGCTCCATTGCTCACTAATTGTTTCCCGTCTGTTGGTTTTGCGTCCCCAGATAGACAGTGAGTTCTTTGAGAGCAGAGTGTCTTACACAACTCCATATCTCCCGCAGCGCCGGGCTCATGGTGGCTGCTCAGTACTTCCGTATTGGAAAAGCAATTGGTTCCCTCACTGATTGAGTCAGATTTCCACACTGATTGCTGGAGATTGTCCCCGGGGGCCCAAGGAGGTGCTAAGCATCATGGTCCTCATGCCCTTTCTGGTAGGAGACACAAGCCATGTGTCCGTGGGAACTGGCTCTCGCTAGACCTCTACCCCAGCCTGCTCAGACTGGGCCTCTGCGAGAGCGGCCTCGGGCCTCACTGCTCTGTGGGCCCTCTGGACCTGACAACAGCTCCTGTGGAAGTTGCACGTAACACCTGCCTTGCTCCCTTGGCTCTCGGGATAAACAGAGCCTCCAGAACCAAGGGAGCTTCACCCAGATTCCCTGTCCAGCCCTATTTCAGAGACAATTAGACACGAGTCTGACTCAATCAGCCTTCATTTCCATTAAGAAAGACAGGAAGCAGGCCGTCCATCCCGTTAGGGTGGAAGAGTTAAGCCAGATTTAATAGAGCCCAAAAAACATCGAACTAGGTTTGCAACTAAACTTTGGGAGGAAAAAAAGAGAGAAGGAGGGTGCCAGAGACATGTGTTTACCACCGACAATCCAAGCTTGGGGCTCAAATTGATTCAGCCTGCTGGCTAAGGATGAGCTGGCCTGGCAAAGGCGGGAGGAACAGTGCCAACTGCAGATGCAAAATTCTGCTGGAGGTTTTTTCTCTGTTCTTGGTTTATTTATTCGACCTTCTCATTAGCCCACATACCCCTCAAGGCACTTGGGCTGGTGGATGCTTTAGGACTCCGGAGAGCAGGCCCTACAGGCATCTATGTAGGCTCTGCGTGACCCAGCACAGTCTCACAAATCTCCCGCCTCAAACCCGGGGCTTTGATTGCCAAACAAGGATCTGCCTTCCTGCTGTGACTAGCCGGGAGATGCCTCCCCAGCTCTTTCTGATTCTGGTGGGCTCACTGCTCTCCCTACCACACGACAGGGATGCTCAGATGTCTTTATTCGGTAGACTCAATGAGGGAACGCCTCTCTGGCAGCCCCCGGAGACTCAGATGTGACGCCCACCCTCTCTATGCTCCCCATCTAGTGGAGGAGAGTCATGAAAATAAATCAGCACAAGACAGGGCGGCATGTGCTGCAGGTCATGAAGGAATAGGGTGCTTTGGGGCTCTGTGCTCTAAGAAGCAACAATGGCTGATGTTTGGGGTGGGTGGGAGGGGACTCAGCTTGACAGCTGACTTGATCTTGAAAGGGGAGTGAGAGTCTTCCAGAAGGGGAGTGAGAGTTTTCCAGAGAGGGTGTAGAGGAGGAAAGTATTCAAGGTGAAGGATATCAAATGTCAAAAGGGGCAGCAATAGGAGGTATGGAGGGTGCTGGGAATGTGCCACAAGGCCAAGGATCCCAGGTGGGTGTGGCTCAAGAGGCCACGAGCACACCAGGTTTTTGGAGGCAAAGTTAAGTAAGCAGCAAGGTGACAGTAAGCAGCAAGGTGACAATACAGGTATCTAATCAGAAGAGGAACAGGAACATCTTTTTAGAAAGATGATGATTGTGTGGCCATCCTGCACCAGGGACCAGCACTGGAGTTGCGGTGACCTGGTAGACAGGCTGATGCTGCAATGCTCCAGGTGAAAGCGTTGAACCCAGAGGACTGGGGTGGGAGGGAAAGGAAGAAGGACCGCTGAGAGTCAGGAGGCAGCATCCTTCGCATTCTGGTCGCGAATGGCATATTGGCTCAGGCACAGAGGGGCTAGGATGTTGGGTGATGCCAAAGGCTCTATTTAGGGGTCTGAATGACTGGTGGTGCCATCGCTGATGGTCAGGAAGAGAGGAGCAGAAGCAGGGGTTCCCTGTGAGACATGTGGGACACTTGGGCAGCTCTGTCCACATGGATCAGAGTGCTCAGAATGAGAGGTGAGGGCAGAGGATGCAGTTTGTGGAGACATCCTAGGTAGTGGTAGGCAAAAGGTAAGACAGAAAAATAAGACCTAGACACTGGGGTGCAATGGACATTGGGGCTGGGCCTCACAGAGATTATGAAGGGGAGGCACCAGTCATGACCGAGGACCAGAAGTCAGAGGAGTAAGCTTCAGGGGAAGGCAGATGGCAATGGGTAAGGATCGAAAACTGGCCCAAGGCAGAAAGCTGTTGCACTTGAACACCCACCATCCCTCTTCTTGGGTCCAACACATTGATTTCAAAGGGAGCAAACTGGTAGTGCATTTTGTTTGGGTGACTCTGACCCTGCCACCCTCACCTTCCTGAGTCCTGAAGAGGTCACATGACCCAGGCCTGACCGGCAGGATGATCACTACCTTCTGGCCACAGTTTAGGGTTTAGGGATAAAACTGTGACTCGGTGAGAGTCCATTCTAGGGCTTTTGCTGAAACCATTGGGAAAGAGACTCGTCCTTCCTATTAGGGTTGCTATGTTGTAAGATAGCAGGAGCTCCCGGATCTCAATTTGTCACCTACTGGGAGAGCTAGCCTGAACACGAAACCAGCATGGGGGAAAAGAGCTGAGACACAGGCACTGTTGTTGATGTCATTTACTCTTTGCATCCAGCAATGCCTAGGTTTTTTAAAAGTCATTTGGGCCAACACATGTGCTTTTAAGTTTAATCCCATCTCATTTGGGTCCTGTCACTTACCATCTAAGGCGTCGTGACCCCTACAAGCTACGTGGCTATTGAGAGGCTGCTGGGTACAAGAGTGGCATCTGGAAAAGACTTTAGCCCAGCCCTGCACATCACACACAATACCACAAACAGATTATGGCCACAGGAAAAAACACAGCTAGAAATGGATGAATTGGCTCTGTCTCAATACCTGTCAGCCTGGAAACATAAAGATTTCCTTTACGTTTTTCAAGGGCTGAGTCACACAGGCCAGACTTGGCTGGGCACGTCAACGTATTGTCCCTGCCAAGGAAGATGGTTACGATGGGAAGGTTGATTTATTTGAATACTTGAATGTCAACATCATCCTGACAAAAAGAGAGAGCAGAATAGCATGTGCTATTACCAGAGGTCTCTTTCCTGTCCTCAAAGCCCCAACGCCCATGAGGGTAGATGTTGTTTGAGGAAGTTGGCTGAGCATGGGCACATGGTATGATGGGCCCAGGGGCCTGGGAGAGGGCAGTCCTTGCCCAATGCCACAGACAAGGTGGGGGGACCACTTTATATGTCGTGGTCTGGGACCTGAGTCATGAGTAGGAGCCGGGTATCTGAGGATGCTCGGTAGGAGGGACTAACAAGGGCTAAGGTCAGAGGAACAGAAGGAAGGCCAGTGAGTCCGAGCCGCAGTGAGTGAGAGCAGGAGAGAGGACCACCATGTTCTCCATGTGCCACCCATTTAGGCTCTTGGCTCTCTGGTCTACTCTTGTACTTAATGTATTTGGTCTCATCTTTCCATCTGTCAGTTCACCCATTCATCTATCCCACAAACACGTATTACCAGACAGCAGGCAGCACTGAGTCCTGAAGGAAGTGTTCTGCACGCAGAAGGGGGACCCACCATCTAGGCAGAGAAAGCCACAAGAGCCAAAGCCTAGCAAGGAAAAGCTCCCCACTGCGTGGGGCCTGCTGGGAAGGGCTTGCATGCCTGGCCTCATCTCCACCGTGTTGGTAGAGCAGAGCACCTACGTGCAGAACACTGGGAAATGTACACACACACACACACACACACACACACACACACAGTTAATCTATGACTCTGGGAGAAATCTGATAGAGTCTTATACTATAGTACAGCCAAGTGGTAGTGGGGACCAAAGGCTTAAGGAAAAGCGAGGGGAGGGATGCTTATAATGGAGACTATTCCATCAATTAGCTAATTTTTTCCCTGCCAACCAAGAAAGCCTTCATTAGTTACTGTTAGTGATGGCCCGGCCTTGGGCACCTGCTTGCTGCCGAGCGGCACTGTGCGGGCCAGAGGGAACTGTCTCAGGGCCTCAATCAGGCGGCGACGTGATGAGATTTGTGCCTTGAAAAGGTCAGCGCGGCGGCAGGCAGAGGATGGATGGAGGGGAAGGCAAGGTGTCCCTTAGAAGGCTGTTGGAGAAACACACACAAGGAGAACCAGCATTGGAGCAGAG